GTGAGGGAAAAAAGTATTTGATCCCCTGCTGATTTTGTACGTTTGCCCACTGACAAAGAAATTATCAGTTTAAAATTTTAATGGTAAGTTTATTTGAACAGTGAGAGACAGAATAACAACAACAAAATCCAGAAAAACGCATGTCAAAAATGTTATAAATTGAACTGCATTTTAATGAGGGAAATAAGTATTTGACCCCCTCTTAATCAGAAAGATTTCTGGCTCCCATGTTTATTTTATACAGGTAACGAGCTGAGATTAGGAGCACACTCTTAAAGGGAGTGCTCCTAATCTTAGCTTGTTACCTGTATAAAAGACACCTGTTCACAGAAGAAATCAATCAATCAGATTCCAAACTCTCCACCATGGCCAAGACCAAAGAGCTCTCCAAGGATGTCAGGGACAAGATTGTAGACCTACACAAGGCTGGAATGGGCTACAAGACCATCGCCAAGCAGCTTGGTGAGAAGGTGACAACAGTTGGTGCGATTATTCGCAAATGGAAGAAACACAAAATAACTGTCAATCTTCCTCGGCCTGAGGCTCCATGCAAGATCTCACCTCGTGGAGTTGCAATGATCATGAGAACGGTGAGGAATCAGCCCAGAACTACACGGGAGTATCTTGTTAATGATCTCAAGGCAGATGTGACCATAGTCACCAAATAAACAGTTGGTAACACACTACGCCGTGAAGGACTGAAATCCTGCAGCGCCCGCAAGGTCCCCCTGCTCAAGAAAGTACATATACATGCCCGTCTGAAGTTTGCCAATGAACATCTGAATGATTCAGAGGACAACTGGGTGAAAGTGTTGTGGTCATATGAGACCAAAATGGGGCTCTTTGGCATCAACTCAAATCGCCGTGTTTGGAGGAGGAGGAATGCTGCCTATGACCCCAAGAACACCATCCCCACCATCAAACATGGAGGTGGAAACACCGCATCAAAGAGACGATGGCCTTGGCCATGTACCGTCAAATCTTGGGTGAGAACCTCCTTCCCTCAGCCAGGGCATTGAAAATAGGTCGTGGATGGGTATTCCAGCATGACAATGACCCAAAACACACGGCCAAGGCAACAAAGGAGTGGCTCAAGAAGAAGAACATTAAGGTCCTGGAGTGGCCTAGCCAGTCTCCAGACCTTAATCCCATAGACAATCTGGAGGGAGCTGAAGGTTCGAGTTGCCAAAAGAGGAGGCCAAGGAACGGGACCGGTGCAGATAATCGTCGCTGGTGTTGGCCGTGAGAAGGAATCGAACTTGGGAAGCTGGGCTCGGAACCCAGCGCGCTAACTGCCACACCACCGCTCCCCACATGCACCGCTCACTACACACAGAGGCGCATAGTGATTAAGGCTGAATGTCGTCAACAAAGCGGCCTTGAGTTGTGTTTTTTGTCTCCTGATCCACTCTGACCAGATGTCTCAGAAAAAGAGGCGGGAGAACACCCACACTTTACCCCACCACCAGATAAATGAAAAGGAAATTAAAAGAGTTTTATGACAATCTTTAGGAAATATGCAACAAAGTGGTGACACACACACAAAAGATCCCCTCCACACACACAGACACACAGACAGACACAGAGACACACACACTGTGACGAACCCTCCCTGTTTAATATTTTAGACTGTTGGCTGTGAGAGTTGTCAGCGAGCACCTATTAAGGACGGCACTATACACCCGCTGCCGCCTTTGTCTTCTCAGTGCTGATGTTTTACGCACCGCATCGGGGGCTCATCTGAGGTCGAGTAGACCTATGGGAGGAGAGATCGCCGAGTTGAGGAGCGGCGATCGCTCTCGCCATGAATGTCGACCGTGCCCGATAATCGAACTCCGTTATTTGGGGTTAGTAGCGTCGCGTGCTATCCACTGCGCCACCACTCCCCAAATTATGAACGCTCCATCTCCTCTGTTTATTCCTGCTTCAAGCAATTGAACAGCAGTAGCGTGAGATCGGAACCCTGGGATACATCGGAGACCAACCCTCAGTGTGAAAACACGCCACGGGTCACCGTGTGAGTCGATGGGTCTCTGAGTGTGTGGGTCTCTGTGAGTCTATAGGTCTCTGAGTCTATGGATCTCTGAATGTGTGGGTCTCTGAGTGTATGGGTCTCTGTGAGTCTATAGGTCTTTGAGTATATGGGTCTCTGTGTGAGTCTATGGGACTCTGAGTCGATGGGTCTCATGAGTGTGTGGGTCTATGTGTGAGTCTATGGGTCTCTGTTTATATTGGTCTCCGAGTGACTATATGCATCTCTATGCGAGTCTATACTATACAACGTAGTTCTATATATGTGTTATATCTGTGATCACATCCACAGAAACTGCACAGAAACAGGGGGAATTGCTTATTTTACAGAGAGAAAGAGGCAGAGACAGAGAAGGCAGAGAAAGCACGGGTGGCAAGGGGGGAAGGGAGTCCAAGACAGTGGGGACAGCAGAGGAGAAGGAGCGACCTCCCACTTTGCTAAGCTTACCCGGTGGCTTCAATAGAAAACACTGCATGCTGGAGAGAGAAGTCGAGTGAGATGAGAGGGTAGAGGTAGGAAAGTGCGTGGAGAGGAGTGAGATGAGAGGGGAGAGGCACGATAGTGCGTGGAGGGGAGTAGAGTGAGATGATAAGGGAGATGAGTGAATCCCGCTATATTCAGGCGTGAAAATCACTCTATAACTCACCCGCAGTAAGTGAGTGGGTGAGCGAGTGAGTGTTTGACTTAACGAGCGAGTGAGTGGGTGAGTGAGCGAGTGAGTAACTGGATGAGAGAGCGGGTGGGTGAGCGGGCGAGTGGGTGAGTGAGCAAGTGGGTGAATGAGTGGGTGAGCAAGTGGGTGAGCGAATGAGTGAGCGAATGGGTGAGCAAGTGCGCGAGTGAGTGAGCCGGTGAGTGAGCGAATGGGTAAGTGTGGCTAAATCTGGCCTTGAGAGTTGCTCCATAACCCTAACCAGCGTCACTATGATGTTTTTTCTTGGCTGTGGCAAGATCATTACTCAGTGAACTAACTAACCAATACGTAAATTATGAATAGTGATAATATTATAATGTAATGCTTATAATGCCGAACTCGTAACGTACATAGTTTTAATTCACACGCACAAACACAGACATAATGATGCAGAGAAATAATTATCCAAACAGATAATGATTCAGAGAGATTGATTCAGAAAATGATACAGCGAGTGAGATATAATGAGAATCAGAGAGAGAATGATTCAAAGATAGTTAAAATAGATAATGATTCAAGCACGTGGGAAAAGCAGCCAGAACAAAACTGCGTTTCTTAACAACTCGTGACCAACACGTGGTGGGGGGGCAGATATCTCAGACACAGGGGTCAATGAAACCCTTAGGAAATCTCACATAGCTTGGGTGGTCCTGTATGGTAGAGGTGATAATGGGGGGGGGGGGGGGGGGGGGCGGCCTATATGGTAGAGGTGATAATGGGGGGGGGGGCGGCTATATGGTAGAGGTGTTAATGGAGTCCTCTATGACAGAGGTGTTAATAGGGGGCCTGTATAGTAGAGGGGGTTAATGGGGGGCTTGTATGGTAGAGGGGTTAATGGGGGGCCTCAATGGTAGAGGTGTTAATGAGGGGTACTGTATGGTCGAGGTGGTAATGCGGGGCCTGTATGATAGAGGTATTAATGGGGGGCCTGTATGGACGAGGTGTTAATGGGGGGCCTGTATGGACGAGGTGTTAATGGGGGCCTGTATGGTGGAGGGGTTAATGGGGGGCTGTATGGTAGAGGTGTTAATGGGGGGGCCTCTATGATACAGGTGATAATGGGGGCCTGTATGGTAGAGGTGTAAATGGGGGGCCTGTATAGTAGAGGAGTGAATGGGGGCCTCTATGATAGAGGTGATAATGGGGGGCCTGTATGGTAGAGAGATTAATGGGGAGGCTGTATAGTAGCGATGTTAATGGGGGACCTGTATGGTAGAGGTGTAATTGGGCGGCCTATATGGTAGGGGGGTTAATGAGGGGCATCTATTATTGACGTGCTAATGGGGGGCCTGTATGGTAGAGGTGTTAATGAGGGGCCTGTATGATAGAGGTGTTAATGGAGGGCCTCTATTATTGACGTGCTAATGGGGGGCCTGTATGATAGAGGTGTTTCTGGGGGGCCTCTATTATAGACGTGCTAATGGGGGTCCTGTATGATACAGGTGATAATGGGGGGCCTGTATGATAGAGGGGTTAGTGGGGGGCCTGTATGATATAAGTGTTAATGGGGGGTATGCATGGTAGAGATGTTAATGGTGAGTCTATATTATAGAGGTGTTAATGGGGGCCTATATGATAGAGGTGTTAATGGGGGGCTCTGTTATTGAGGTGTTAATGGGGGGCCTGAATTATGCAGGTGATAACAGGGAGCCTGTATGATAGAGGTGTTAATGGGGGGCCTCTGATACAGGTGATAATGGGGGGCCTGTACGATAGAGGGGTTAATGGGGGGCTTGTATAGTAGATGTGTTAATGTGGGTCCTGTATGGTAGAGGTGTTAATGGGGGGGTGTATAGTAGACGAGTGAATGGGGGGTCTCTATTATTGAGGTCTTAATGGGGGGCCTGTTTTATAGATGTGATAATGGGGGGCCTGTATGGTAGAGGGTTGAATGGGGGGCTGTATGACAGAGGTGTTAATGGAGGGCCTCTATTATTGAGGTGTTAATGGGGGCCTGTATTATAGAGGTGTTAATAGGGGGCCTGTATGGTAGAGGTGTTAATGGGGGTCCTGTATGGTAGAGGTGTTAATGGGGGGCCTGTATGACAGGTGTTAATGGAGGGCCTCTATTATTGAGGTGTTAATGGGGGCCTGTATTATAGAGGTGTTAATAGGGGGCCTGTATGGTAGAGGTGTTAATGGGGGGCCTGTAGGGTCGGGGTGTTAATGGGGGGCCTATATGATAGAGGTGTGAATGGGGGGCTGTGTTATACAGGTGATAATTTAATAGGGGGCATGTATGGTAGAGATGGTTAATGGGGGGGGGGGGAGGTTCTAGGCGCTGGAAGTGGCGTAGGGGGCACCCTCGTCGGTGCTCCCTCCCTGGTTGCCCGCCCCCTCCATGGCCCTCAGCGTCTCCACTCTCGTCACGGCCTCGGATTCAGGGCGTTGCTCCCCCACCGCTGTCCCACATATCATCTGGCGCAGGATCGAGCGGAACTGCGGACACACAAAGACAAAGGTCCCCCGTGTGTAGCCCGCGCGGTTGTTGGGACAAGTGCCATTCGCGAGCAGCAGCACCTATGGAGGCCCGGTGTGGGCCAAGACCCCTCAGGCCCGACCGCCTTTGTTTTACCAGTGCCCGATGTTGGCTACACTTCGGCACTGGGGGGAGCCCCAGGACCGCTCTGGACGTTGGATCAAAACGTCGGGACGTCGTGCCGAACAACGTTGTAGAGGTTCACGGATTCCAATCTGGCCGGGTCGACCTGGTCGTTGCTTGCGATGTGCATGAACCGTGACGGGGCGACCACGTGCCCTCTGAAAACACATTTATTGAGAACTGCTTCTTGTTGTGTTAAGTTGTCCTTCCCCACCATTTCCGATTAGCACAGTTGGCTATGTACGGTGTGAAAGAAGTTGAACATACACATGTACATGGCGGCATTCACAAATTGAAGCCAGCCATGTGCGTGCCAGCTCTGAATCTGCCAAAATTCTAAAAGTTTTCAACCGGGATTACGTTTCAGCAAGAGGGGGCCCCTGGCTGGCAGAGTGACGCACATGGATAGCTGCTACTGGGGCATCCCCACGGCTCGACCACACTGCATCATCACCCCGCCCCCCTGCACAGTACTGGCAGACTGATGCCCGCTTGTCGGCCAGCACTGAGTCCCCGAGTGGCACACAGGGACAGCTGCCAATGGGGGTGCCCTTTTAATTGAGGTGCGAGTTGAGGTATAAGCGAGTGCCTCTTACACCTGCAGAGATGACGATTGCTCCCAGGAAACCCATCTCAGAGGTACACACATCATTCGGGCGAGTGGGTGAGTGAGTGGGTGGGTGAGTGAATGAGTCGGTGGTTAGGTGGGTGAGTGAGTGGGTGGGTGAATGAGTGCGCAAATGGGTGAGTGGGTGACACGTAGACTGAGTGAGAAAGTGCGCGAGAAAGTGGGTGAGTGGGTGAGTAAGTGCTGTGGTTAGCGCACTGCGCAAAAAACACTTGTAACACGATTTTGATGCCTGCTCACGGCCAACACCAGTGACTTAAATCTGACCGGTTTTGGGCCTCCCATAGGTCGATTCAGCCTCAAATGAGTGTAAAAATCGCCAACAGCATGGTGCTGACCACCCACCCCTGTGCGTGCTGTGCCAACCTTCATAGATGCTACTCGCTAAAAGCACTTGCCCCAACTGACTGTTAAGGCTATATGGGGGATATGTCTTTGACTGAGCTCGTGAATGAGTAGGTGAGTGAGTGGGTGAGTGAGTGGGTGAGTGGTTGAATGGATAGGTGAGTAAACGAGTTATTTGTGAATGAGTGGATAAGTGGGTGAGACAGTGAGTGATACGTCTTGTGGACTCGCCTCCCCACCCCCACCGAAAATGAACATCAGTGGACGGATGCAGACAAGGCCAATAAGACGCCTTTTATAACCTCCTATTCCAGGTGCAAGTTAAAGTACCCCCTCGGAATTTAATCATCCTGTTGGGTAACTTTAATGCCCGAGTTGGTCATGATGCTGGCACCTGGTCTGGAGTAATTGGAAGGCATAGGCGACATCAGCTCAACAACAACGGTATGAGGCTGCAAGACTTTCGTGCAGCCCACGGGCTTGTAATTACAAACATGTTGTTCCGGCATTGGCGCATCCACACTATACCATGGATGCTCGCCTGGTCCAACGAAGAACATCTGCTAGACTATATAATGATGGACCAGCAGATGCGCGCCCATGTCCTTGAAACCAGAAACTAATATGGAGCTGATCTGCTCATTGACAATTGGCTTGTCATTTGTAAAATGCGCCTGCCATTATTCCAGTCCGGTGGTGGGTGTCCATCTCAAACCCCATTCAAACCCACAGTGGCCTGGTCTCAGCTAGATGAGGACAGTTGCAAGCAAGAATTTCAACATGGCTTGCAGCTGGGGTTGGCATCGCACCCTCCCCCCCCGCCCTCCTCCTCCTGATGCTGAGGGGAAATTGGTGAGGTTCAGGACCGTGGCTCATACAGCTGCAATGGCTGCATTGGATATGCAGTCAACTCACCAGAGACCCTGGATAAAGGAGGATGTCTTCCAGCTGGTTGAGAGAAAACAATAGGCCCACACCCGACGTCTACAATATCCAACATCGGAGAATGAGGAGGCTTACTGCAGCCTTCGCTCGGAGATTCGGAGAGCCGTGTGGTGCTGCAAGGATGAGTGGTGGCCGTGGGTTGCTCGATGAGAGAGACTTTGCCTCAGTTTCCCGCAATCACAAATCACTCTTTAATTCCATCAAAAGAAGTTACTTGCATCCCAGACGACATCATGGGGCAAGGTGAGGATGACCCTGCTCAGGTTGCTGTGCCTAAAATATTGGAAGAAGTAGCCACCCCTTCTGAATGGCTAGCTGAGGTGCCATCTGTGGAGGAAATACGAGAGGCGATCCACAGTCTGAGATCAGGAAAGCACCTGGCAAAGATGATGCCCCAAGCGAAATGCTGAAGGAGAATTGCATCTGTGTGCAGACTACCCTACAAGACATCATGGCAACTGACTGGAATTTAGGATGGATTCCGAAGGATTTAACGAATACCCTGGTGGCCCCCCTCTTTAAGAAGAGGGACAGCACAGACTTTAACAATACAGGGATATCTCCCTCCTCAGTGTGCCGGAAAAGATCCAGGCAGGGATTATTCAACAACGCCTTGCCAATCATGCTGAGGAGAGACTTGTGGAGCTCTAATGTGGTTTCAGATCGGGGCGGTCTATATGCATTCCATATTCTTTGTTCATCTGCTACAGCAAAGGTGTATGGAACTCCAACAAGACCTACATCTCTCCTTTATTGACCTGGACAAGGCCTATGATATCATCAACAAACCAGGGCTCTGGGCTGTTTTTCGTGCTTTCAGAGTCTCTGACTCTGCTCACAATCATCAAGGGCCTTCATGATGGTGAGCCTGGATAAAGCTATGTGGCCAGAAGTCAGAGCTATTCCCTGTTCACCTTGGGGTGCGGCAGGGATGTCCTCTGGCTCCCACGTTATTTTAATCATCTTTGACCACATAGTTCAAGAAGTTTTCCATGGCAGTACTTGGAGGAATTTCCATCTGGTACAGATGTAGTGGTGATACGCGCTGACAGTGGGGATCGTGGGGCAGCGCGTGGTGATTGGCTGTGTGCCGGTGACGCGCGCTGACGGTGAGGGATCACAGGGCAGCGCGGGGTCATGGGTTATGTGGTGGTGATTGGCTGTGTGTTGGTGACGCGCGCTGACAGGGAGTGATCGTGTGGCAGCGCGGGGCGATTGGTTGTGTAGTGGTAACACGCGCTGGGAAAACGGATCGTAGGAATAGCGCGCCGTGATTGGTCGACTAGTGGGCGCTCACATCGCGGTCCGCAAGAGGGCTATATAAGGCGGTGCGCGCGGGCGCTCGGGGAGTTGGTGACCAGCGAAGATTGAAGACGGCGGAGGAAGAGATAGGGCACTGCGGTACCTAGTCCCGCTGTCCTTGTAAGGACCGGGGCTCTGTGTGACCCAGAGGCGGGACCCTGGGACCCGGGGCCAAACGTCCGTGTGACGGCCGGCTCTCGGGACCCAGAGGTTGTGACCCACGCCCAAGCTGGGGTGGGTCTGTAGGCTCCACGGACGTTACGGGGCTGGAGTGTAGTGTGAGCATTCAGTGTGAGCATGCAGCGTGAGCCATAGTCACTACACGTGTCAGTGAAGTGTGTAGTGGGAGAGGTAGTGACCACACGTGTCAGTGAAGTGTGTGTAGTGTGAAGAATAGTGACCACACGGTGTATCGAGATAAGTCAAAGTTTAATAAAAAGTGTGCTACCCGTCAAGAGGTTTCCTGCCGTCATTCTGAATACTTCAACTGGCGTCAGAAGTGAAACTGTCTTCCAGGCATGGATACAAGGAAGACCCGTCGGACCCAAGGGATTGACCGCGAGGATAACCTTGACGACTCGGGCCAGCTGGCATCGGGGGGAGAGGACGAGGAAATGCCGACGCCGCAGGACCCGCCAAGGGCGCCGGACGAGCGATTGGGGTCGGATGCTGTGCTCCGCGAGGCGCACTCCCGTCTGGCAGAGCTGCTGCTCGCCGCCGTGTCCATCCTGGCAGAGATCAACACGTCGGGAGGAGCGGGGACATCGGCGGACATTCAACAGGGTCGTCCCACGGGTTCCCGCCAAAATGACTTGGCGATTCCCGCCATTTCAACTGTGCGGACATCTTTTGGCGGGAACGGCGAGCAACACGTGGCGGCGGTTCTCCAAGCGCGCCCGCTTACGTCATCAGCGCGCGCTGCGGACCGCCATCAACCACCCGCCATTGGGGCCGCCATCTTGCAGACTGACGGTGGGGCGGGGAGGAACCACGTGGCAGAGGACGACGACTTCATCTTCCAGCAGCGCCTTCCCACATTGTCAGCCTTCAAGGCGGAAGGCGGAGACTGGGGAGCATTCCAGCGCAGGTTTCTGGCGCATCAGGAAATGTCGGCCTGGTCCGACGCTACGGCGCTGCGGGCACTGCCTGCCATGTTGGACGACGACGCACTCGCGGCCTTCAGGTCCACACAGAGGTCGGACCGCTCCACGCTGAAGGCTGCATTGGGTCTCATGGCCAGGGTCTACGGACCTCCCTCGGCGTGTCGCCATCATTTTTACGCCCGACGGAAGGCGGACACGGAGACCGTGCTCGCCTACCGCACAGCGTTGTTGGCTCTTGCCGACGCAGCGTTCCCTCGTATGGACGAGGAGGGCCAGGACGCGATGGTCTTGGAGCAACTGCTCAAGTTGGCGCAGAACCTGGGGGTCCCCATCAACACGGCTGACGAGGTCGATATTTCTTCTTTGCGGGTCGCAACAAGTATACAGGCGTACGAGGTCCTCCAGCGTAAACAGGGGGTCGTCTGCACTGCTGCCGTGACCTTAACTCCGGGCCCGGGGGTCACCGAGCCCCAAGTCGTCAGCCCACGAGAGGAGGCGTTCACCGCGGGACGAC